CCTCCACTGCTGCCGTTTCCGCTCTTTGCGGTCGTCGAACTTGCCGCGGATCCGCTACCAGGAGTTGTTGTGTTACTTTGACTTGCCTACGACAAATTGCACGTATTTTACTTCATTGCAATACACTGCGTGTTTGGTGTTATTGAGATGGCGAGATACTCAAGTTACATTAATCTTTTCCTATATCCTATGAATTAGACTCGATATAATACATTAGGCCTAATTTACATGATACTTTACATGATACTTTTTTAATAAATTAGTGTGTTAGTCTTTTAGTAAACAAGAAAAATAGCTAAAAGAAATATAATTTGTAAAATAAATGTTTTAAATAAACTAAAAAATTTTAATTATTGGGTAAAATTAATAAGGATTCGTTATTCTCGTATCAAATTAGCTCAAGATACATCAGAACTTTCATATAGTAATTTACAATTGGCAAGGGTGAGGGATACCTCCAGATATGAATTTGAAAAGTCTCGCATACCGTTTTTATCCTTGTATTTTTAACAGACAAACGTACATATCTGGAAAATAATAGTTCACGTTTTTAATTTATGTATATTAAAGCTATTTACCTACAATAGACAACAACATTAAGTGCAAAGCTTAAAATGCTGATTAAACAAAAGTACTATGAATAAGCGATCCATAATCCTGGTACTATTCTTTAATCCACATTTTTAGACTTCATCAGATGTTGCTGTTTAAATACATATCTAAATAGCTTTTGATATACGTAAAAGAGGAACGTTAAATGTTAATGTCTAGCATTGCCTGTTAAAAAAATAGCTATGAAAACGCTGCGCAAAATAACGTCTTCATTCAGTATCAGAGGGATTGCTCTGCATCATCTCTCTCGTCACTGCAAAAAATTGTAAATTATCATATAAAAACACTGATGTATCCCGAATGTAATTTGATACAAGAACAACGAAAAGAACTCAACCGAAGGCGAAATAAATAATTACAAAAATTCGTGCCGCGCAGTGCCGCGCTGACTCGCCGACGGAATCGTCACGGGTGACGTTCTTAATGAGTTATGTACCAAAGGCTGCCGTCCTGGTTGACCCGAGATACTGTTGGCATTGCCGTTGTTGGTGATGCTGTTGTTAACGTTGCTGCTGGGCGGACCCGAGCCGCTCTGATCTCGATTAACAAGCTGCTGCACCAGCATCGGATTCGGCTCGCTCATGTTCACCTGCTCGTTGATTACCATACAAAATTCCCCAATCTTCTGGATGTCACCGTTCTTCCCAGAATAAAGGGTCAGGCATTGCCGCCAGACGGACGCGTAGCCCTTGGTGAGCCGTACAATGTCACCCGGCATCAGGAGTTGCCCGGGTTCGTCCCAGATGGAGACGTTCATACAGGCGGTGCTATCGGCCACTTTGAACGTTCGAACTTCGCGGTTCTCTTTGGTTATGGTAGGGTGGCTAACCTCCAAAACGATAAACACTACGTTGATGTTCTTCTGCCCCGCGCGGATGTCCTTTATCTGCACGTATTCCATCGTAACCTTCCACGAATCGCGCACAGAACAAAATATATACATACATACACACAACACACACTCACACACTCACACACACTGCACACACACGCACGCAATAGGGCGGACCGAAAATAATGGAGTGATATCCTTACGGGAAGTGCACCGTTCACGTCCTGCGACGTGATTTGACGTGCTTTCTTGCAACACGAAATAGCAATGACCGACGGATGACTGGACGACACCATAGGTCAAAACACGCTTAACCCCTCCACCACCCCTCTTCTCGCCCGCAAATCGAGCTCTTCAAAGATTCCTTCTCTCTCGCTTTTTCAACCGCACGTGGTGCTGTCCAAGTAGATTTTCCGTGGCTCGAGGTGAGATCTACGCGTTCGAAGTGTTCGAGCTGTTCGATTCGAATTCGACAGGAGCATCAGACAAAATGAAAGAGAGCCAGAGCGCCGCCATCGGCGACGACGCGCGCCGCGCGCTGCCATGTTGCGCGCGCCACCTCACGCCACCGGAACGCCATCGTGCGGCACAACAATTGCTGGATTCACACTGCATCCGATTATCGTCGTACGACGCCCTGCAACCAATCAGAAAACAGGAGTCCGATGAATTTTGCTTCGTATTATCGGAATCCTGTTTTCTGATTGGATGCGGAGCGTCGT